GACTGCCGGTTTCAGTCTGATACCTGCAGGCCACGGGCTGAAACTGGCAATCTGACATCCCCTGAGGGATGTAGTAGTGCAAGAAGCAGCAGGAAGCTGGGGAGGAGCCCAAGTCCAGGCCTGGCACTGTGCAGTTCCTACTCATCCTGGCTCTGCTGTGCCTGCTGATACTGCTGCTTGGTAAGCTCACTGAGCAGCGCTCTGCTGTGAGAGCACACTGACCACCAGGGGGAAGCTCCTGCATTGAGTATTTGCCACCTGGTGGTCCGGCACATCATAGACGGTCCACCGATTGTCCAGTCACTCAGTAGCTCAGTTGCTTAGGCTTTTATATATATAGATAGCTTTTTGAATGCCTGAGAATATTTGCTATTCTGTATTAGGAGCAACTGTAAGGTGAGAAAGCGGAGAGCAGATGTGTGTGTCTCTTTCAACAATTTGCTGTGATGAAATTGACTGGCACTTGGCTAGAGCTTGGGGTCAGAAAGCTATTAGGATGTTGTTCTCTATAGTAATTAGTTTCTCCTTGTTCATGCAAAAACATTCCAACCTGTAAAAATCTTTTTGTGAGTTTATTTGAGCCAAACTGTCAACAATTGCCAGGAAGCAGAATCTCAACAAATTGGGATAATGTCCAGGGACTGGAGCTTTTTCACCTTGTTTTATACAGGACAATCAAAGGAGGAGATGTTAGTGGGTTGCATGAAATTCATTGGTGATAGATTGGAGGGTGGGGAGAGAAAGCAAAGCGGGGAGACCTTTAGGATTGAATAAAAAATGAAGTTATAGACACACACTTCTTTTTCTTAAGTGGGTGCAGGATAGTTAACAATTAACAATTAACTCAATAACAATGAGGGGATGTGTGGTTTCCGCAGAGTGGTGCCTGTGCTTTGGTGAGTCCGGAAAAAGGGAAATTACTGGGACTTTCCAACCAGATGCTTTCATGGATGCAAAAAGACAACAGGCTCCGTGAAGGTACAGGTTGACCTTGTCAGGGGAGGTATCGGCCTCGGACCTGACTGCCCACCATCACTGCTTTTAGTTATTATAGTTTTCACTTCAGACAGTCCTTTTGGTGACTTTAGGTCTTTGAGTTTGCAAGGCCGCCACAGGCCTTCCTTCTGGATGGAACTGCTTTATAAACACCCGAGCGAGGCCAGGAGAGCAGCCAAGCTCAGTTCCTGGGGATTTGGGACAGAGAGCAGATTAGATACAAGACCCAAGCCTTTGAACAGGAAGGGTGGTTGAAATTCGAGGAGCTGGGGTAGTTTCCCCAAAGCCAGGGATGAAAGGCAGAGTTTATGCATATAGATGCTGGCGGTTGACATTGGAAAAAAAATTCTTTTGTGATTGCATCTTGTGGGATACCTTATCACAACCTCCGTGGTTCAGGGCCCACTCAGAGTCAGGTTTCTGGAGAAGGCCGCACACTAAAATGGAGAGAGAGAGAGAGAAAGAGAGAGAGAGAGAGAGAGAGAGAGAGAGAGAGAGAGAGAGACTGGGACTAAAAAAGAGTCAATTTTGGGGAAATGGGGGCCATGTGGGAAGTCCACCTACAGGGGAGGACTACTCTACCCTCTGGCCTTTACCATTCCTTTTATTGAGATTCTGAGACAAAGACATCTCTTAGGCAGGAAATTCCAACAACAGAAAATCAACAAGAATTTACATATGATCAACAAATTCAAGTTGCCTCAACTACCACTATCTCAACTAGATGATGAGTTAATAGCTCTGACCATTCGTTGGCCAGCTCTTTTTACATTTTACCAATAGTGACTCAACCTAGAGTCAATGAGTTAATAGCTCCTACCATTCAGAGCCATCAAGGTTGGCCAGCTCCCTTTACATTTTATTACCAGTGACAATGTTAGGTTTTGGTTCAGGCAGCATCTAGGCAGCATCTAACTTCTTGATGACATAGGAAGGGATCTGAGAGTGAGCTGGGAAGGGATGGTGGCAGAAGCTCTAGAAGTTACATTTACTCTTAAAAGTTTGTAGAATTGCTGATAAAACTCATACCCCACATGCTGGCCGGGTGTGCTTCCACCAGAAGTGAGCTAAGCCTCAGCACCTGCTGTGAGCCCCCTGCAATCAGGGTGGCTGTTGGGAGGGTGGTGAGACTGATGCCACCCACACTCTCTCAGTGTGCGAATTCGCACACCCTCTGGTGTGGAACGTACCTGACGGGTGGGGTGCTGGAAGGAGGGGTGTGGATTCCTGGACAGGGAAGCGAATATAAAGAACATGCTCCTATCACATTACCCATGCCGAACCCTGACATGGAAAGGACAGACACTTCCGTCTATTCTCCATGCCGCAGGCATAGGGAACCTGACCTTGTCACTCTTTGCATAGCTTCCCAGCTCGCTCAGAGCACAAGATCCAGTGTTTGCAAGGATTTGCGAGGCCTCACACAGCCTGGCTCCCCCTTACCTTCTGACCTCACTTCCTGCCTCTCTCCCTCTTCCTCTCATACCTGGACCCTACCTCCTTTTGCTTCAGAAGTTCTTCAAATTGCACTCTGCATATTCCGTTTCTTACCTTATTTGGTCTTCCCTTCAAGCTGCAAGCTCCAGGAGGACATATATGGGGGTCTAGTTTGGCCCCTGTCCCAATTAAGCACCAGTTAATTGATTATCTGTCTAGACTTAGTGGGACAAACGCAGTGTCGACCACAACTGGAGCTGGCCCCGGATTATATGGACTGCCGTAAACAACTGTGTCCTTATTGGTGTGGGCCAGACAGTGTACCTTATGCCGGGAGCAGGGCGTTTACACTTTAAGGGCTCAGAGCTTCACATCAAGATAGTGGGGTGTTCATTAATTTTGGAAGTCACAGAGTATTGGGGTTTCCATATGGTAGATTGAATAAAGAAGGTAGCCGGAGACCAGGATGGCAGGACACACACAGGCTTTATTGGAGGGAAGAGTACCCCAGTTGGCTGCTTCCACAGAGAGGGGCAGAAGAGAGCGAGGGCCGGGGTACAAGCCCCTTTAAGGATAGGGGACTCAGCACAGGCTGATTGGTGATTAGGGACTTAGGAATCAGGGGCTTAGGATATTTGGCAGGTGCTGATTGGTGGTTCAGAGCTCAGGAATGTCTGGCCGCAGGTGGGGTTTACGTTTGTCCATCAACAGGAGGAAGGGAGGATCTATCACCATACAGCAAACAGTTCACACAATAATTATTTCATACATTAGAGGGATTACATTATTACAGCAGCCTCTGCTCTGACTCCATACCTAGACCCATGGCCGCATGGTGGGCCCTCAGAATAGGTTTTTTTGAAAAACTGAACATCTGTCCATTGCACAGATTAATGCTTTTCTGAAAACCATTTTCTTGTGTCCGTTAGAAGTTAATGTTTACCCTTTTATTATATGACTTTTATCTGATTTCTTATGATCCTCACTCTGCAGAGAGCACATCCCCGAGTTGAAGGATGAAGTGTATTATGTTCCCGACGGCGGTGGACACAGGGCCGGATCCCATGCCCACAGCAGCTGGGTTTCCCCTGGAGTGGGTGGGGGAAAGGTTGGAATGCAGTTTCAGTTTCTTGTGAAACAAGAGCAGTTTCATTTTCCTGTAAAAGAAAACTTAATCCTATTTGCTCTCTGCATCCCTGAGGGCCAAGCTGCTCCGCCTCCGGATGCTGTAACCACTAAAACCCTCTGGCGGGCGGAGTCAGTTCTGCATTTCAGACCTCTCTTCTCAGGTAAGACAAGGGCCGGTGGCCGGGCTGCTCCTACCGTGGCCCCCACCTGGGGTGGCCTGTGGGCTCAGGGAGTGAGTGCAGACCCCTGTGGGTTGACTCACAGAACACTCTTGTTTCTCATTAGAGAGAGGGGGAGGGAAGGGGCTCCAGCCCCCAGCTGTCTCTAGGATCTAGGACTCTGGGGACCATCTGCCTTGTCCATTCCTGGGTGGGGGTGCGACAGGCAGGGGGAGGAGGCCAGTTATGGTTAGAAGGAAGCAGATCAGAGCCACGCCAAGCCAGAGCTTTGGAAGCAGCTGAACATGGGTCAGTGGCAATTTAAAAAAATATATATTTTTTATTGATTTCAGAGAGGAAGGCAGAGGGAGAGAGAGAGAGAAACATCAGTGATGGGAGAGTCATTAATTGGCTGACTCCTGCATGCCCCCTTCTGGGGTTCGAGCTTGCAACCCTGACATGTGCCCTTGAACAGAATCGAACCTGGGACCCTTTAGTGCACAGGCTGACGCTGTATCCACTGAGCCAGACCAGCCCGGGCTCCATGGCACTTGGCCATGAAGTCCTTGTAACCTCGAGGGAATCCCTCGTCCCCTCTGTGCCACACCAGTCTTCTCAGTTATAAAGGTGGACGGTGTCTCCTTACCTCTGTGCTGGTGAAGGGGCTGCATCAGAGCGGCAGCCTGGAGCATCCCTTTAAAGCGGAATTGGTTCGGATTTCCTTTTTCTGTTGTTTGTTTGTTTTTAAATATGTTGTTATTGATTTCAGAGAGGAAGGGGGAGGTAAGAGAGAAACATTCGTGATGAGAGAGAATCATGGACCCACTGCCTCCTGCACACTCCCCACTGGGGATCGAGCCCAAAACCCGAGTCATGTGCCCTGACCGGGAATCGAACCTTGACCCCTGGCTCATGGGTCGACGCTCAATCAGCCAGCCGGGCTGATGTTCTAATTCTGGTGCCCTTAAGTTGCTCCATGGAGACTGAAGGGAGTTCTAGAAATATCTAAGGAGTCGATGTGTTTTCAGGGGGAAGGAAGCCACCCACCCGAGGAAATAAAACCTGCCCCATCCACCTCACCCTCCACTTCCACCCTCCAATTCCCCGCCTGGCCCTTTCCAGACCTGCTGCCCACTCCCCACTCCAAGCTCAGGAAGCCTCTCTACCACCCCTCACCCAGCCCCTGGAGAGGCGGTGGGGAAACCCCAGTTCCAGTGTCCCTGTCCCTGACGCAGCTTCTTGCAGGTGTGTCTCCCCTGCCCGCCTATTGCTCTGTGCGCCATGGCAGCCATCGCAGCCTCCTCTGTCGTCGCCAAGATCATGTCCGCAGCGAGCCTGGCCACAGCCGGCGGGGCGGCCTCCGGCAGTGTCCTCTCTGGCCTGTCATCCCTGGGTGAGTGCTCCTGGGGGGCGGGAGGGGCCGGTGGCAGCTGGGAGGCGGCCAGGGAGTGTCCTGCTCAGGGCCCCGTGGAGAGGGAGAGGGTGGCCTTCCCAGCCGGGGCCTCCCGCTGGGGGTCTGTCCTGGCGGGGAAGGGGCAGGCTGGGGGGCCTGGGTGCCCTCCCCACGGGGCCCTGGTCTCTCTCCTCCCCTCCAGTCTGAGGGGACCTTGCTTCCTGGCTCTCATTTCCCCTGGATTCACCCCCAAAACTCACCTCCTTTAGTTTTTTTATTTATTATTATTAAATCTGGTTTGTTTATTTATTATTAATAATTATTATTAATAATAATTATTATTATTTTAATCTTTATCTGAGGATATTTTTCCATTGATTTTTATTTTTTTTAGAGAGAGTGGAAGGGGCGGGGAGACAGAGAAAAACATGGATGTGAGAGAAACACATCGATTGGTTGCCTCCTGCATGGGGCCTGACCAGAGTCTGGGTGGGTGAGAAGCCTGCCCTTGACCAGAATCGAACCCAGGACCCTTCAGTCCATAGGCCGATGCTCTATCCACTGAGCCAAACCGGCTAGGACGTCACCTCCTTTAGTTTTCTTATCGATGTGTCCCCCCCCCCCGCGGAGCAGTTTGCATGTGGGGTCTCAGGTCCAGAGCATGGATTTTAGCCGAATTCTTCAGTTTGGGCCTATTTTCTCTATTAGTTCACACAAGCCCCTCTTGGGTTTATTTCTTTTATTTCGCTGTTTTTCTTCTCCTTTGCTCCCACCCCACCCCAAGGTCAGCCTTTCTAATATGTCTAACCTGTGTCTGTTCCTCATATGTGTATCTTTGCAAATGGGTATTTTCTGTTTGCACGTGTTCCCCTTTACATACGGAATAATGTATATCTCACACGATGTAGTTGTTTTTCTTTCCATGACAAACTATGTTTCTGGGATCTGTCCATATGGCTAGGCAAGCCTCCGTCCTCGCTTCCACCTCTGCCCCGGGGGCGTATGTGTGCCCCCCCCCCCCGGGCATTGACCTTTCTCTCCAGCCCCTCCTGCCCAAAGATGTGGTGTGAAATGGGGGGAGGCAGCCGCAGGCCCCTGACCCCGGGCGTGGCCCCTGACCTCTGTGCGTGCACCCGCCTTCTTCCTCAGGGCTCACTGTGTCATCCAAAGCCGCCCTGGGCTCCATGCTGGGGACTCTGCAAGCCTCCTCCCTGCTGGCCTCCCCCGTGGCAGCCGTGACCGCTAGCCCACTCGCAGGTAACTGGCCTTGGCTAGCAGACCCGCTCCTTGGCCCCCTTCCCCGCTCCCTCCTGTTTGTGAGGAACGAGGAGGGTCCCCGGCTGAGGATGAAACACGATGGCTTTTCTCAAACGCCAGTCCAGTCAGTCACTAGGCTGAGTGTTCACCTTTGATCAGTCTGTTGAATTCTCATAACTACCCCCAACAAAGACACTGTTGTCCTTCGTTTACAAATGAGGACAGTCCTGGCCCTGGCAGGAGGCTCAGAGGGCGGAAGTGCCAGCTGTAATGTTCTCAGAGAAAAAAGGCAGCAAGCCTAGGTGCCAGAGCCCGGCAGGAAGGGCCAGGCCCCGGGAGGAAATGCAAAATCCAGCTCCCTCCCCCGTAACCTCCAGGGCTGCTCAAGGCGGGTTGCTAGCAGCACCCTTCCCGCTGGGCCTCCAGGCCTCCGGAGGCCCAGCCTTCACTGTCCCTGCGCGGCCTCCCTCCTCCTGCTGCTGAGCAGTAACGTTAGGCAGCACATCTTTCCTAACTGGGCTCTTGATTTTTATTTTTTTTTAAATATGTTTTTATTCATTTCATAGAGAAGAAAGGAGAGAGAGAGAGAGAGAGAGAGAGAGAAACATTGATGGGAGAGAAACATCATCCATCGGCTGCCTCCTGCACACCCCCTATTGGGGATGGAGCCCACAACCTGAGCATGTACCCATGACTGGAATCGAACCCAGGACCCTTCAGACTGTAAGCTGATGCTACATCCACTGAACCAAACCAGCTAAGGCCAGAAATAAATAAATAAATAAATAAATAAATAAATAAATAAATAAATATTTAAAAGTGCTAAGTAGCTCCAGTCTCAGGGGAGAAGGAGGAGTTCCGGTTGGGAGGGCCTGGGTGGCTGCCCGGAGGGGAGGGCATTCAGGCCCGGAAGCATCACCGAGCAAACACCTTCCGCTGTTTAGGGGACCTGACATCCTGCCAAATACCGCGCCCTCAGCCACCTGGCCAGGGATTCCGCCTCCCTAGGGAGGACTGCTGACGAAGCTTGCTAGAGGACCCCCCCCCCCTCCACAAAAGGCATACAGATAACCCCCCAAACTGCACCTGGGCTGCGTGTTCAGGCCCCGATGGCTCCAGGCCATGCCGCGCTCACTTAGTTCCGCCTGCCCAGCCCCCCTTGCGGAGCCCAGCACCCTGAAGCTACCCCTCTGAAACCCCACTTCTCAGAGTGCGGGCTGGGAGGGGGAGGGAGGGTGTCAGGAGGGGTCATTCCTTCCTGTGTCCCCCCCTGGGCAGCCCCTCTCCGTGGTGGCCCTGGGCTCTGGGAGGGAGGGAGGGAGTGAGGGAAGGAGGGAGGGAGTGAGGGAAGGAGGGGGAAAGGGAGGGAGGGAGGGAGGCAGGGAGGACGGCCGGTGTGGCTCTGACCACAGAATGTCCTTTGGTTTCCAGTCAAGGCTGTCGTGGCAGCGATTGGAGGAGGTGAGTTTCTTTAGGGAAAGGCCTCCTGTGTCCCCAGATCCTGGGACTTGGGGCACACCCAGCCTTGCGCATGCCCATGTTGGCCTGGGCCTCCGGGCCTCCGTACGCCAGGGAGGGAGGTGGAAGGATGGAGAGGAGCACGAGCCAGGGCCCAGAACCAGAAAGGGATGTGGAGCAGGAGAGCTGGAGGCTCCGGTGGGGCAGCCCCAGGGCTCGTGAGGCCTCTGAGCTCCCACTTCCTCTGCCCCAGGGCCATGCTGCCCTTGGCGGGCTGGGGGCGGGTCCCCGGCTGGGTGAGGGTCACCGGGCTGGGGGAGGGTTCCTACTGCTCCTGGTGATGCCGCCGGGAGCTGCTGGCTCATGCAGGGCCCTGGGTGCGGAGCTGCCTGCCCTGGAGACCTCCTGGGCCAAGACAGGAGCTGGAGGCCCCACTGCGCTGCAGGCCTGGGGACCCTGAGACCCAAGGGCGAGGCTTTCCCACGGGCGGTCCAGCCACGTCTCCAGCGACCCACCTGCTCTCCCCCTGTCCTGTGACTGCTGACCAGGCCCAGTCTCGCCCAAGTTCCCAGTTCACCCCGTTCCCCACCTCCTTGAGACCCCCAAGCTTGTGTGTGTGTGAGGTGGGGGAGAGGCCCGTTTCCCTGAGTGTGACCTTGACCCAGCTCCTCTCCCTGGACAGCCGCGACCGTGGGCGCTGTGCCCGTGGTCCTGGGCGCCGTGGGCTTCACCGGGGCAGGAATCACCGCCTCCTCCTTGGCAGCCAAAATGATGTCGGTATCCGCCATCGCCAACGGGGGCGGGGTGGCTGCTGGAGGCATGGTCGCTACTCTGCAGTCAGTGGGTAAGTGTCCCCGGTGGGCAAGGACGAGGGCCTCAGAGGGTCCAGTCCCGGTCCCGGCCCAGCGGGCCTGTGTCACACACACACACACACACACACACACACACACACACACACACCCCGCCGGGTCCTCTGGCTGGAGGGAGGGAAGGAGCCCGGGCCTGGGCCCTGTGGGCTCCGTGGGCACTGACCAAAGGGTTTACCACCTGGGGCTCAGCCCCTCCCCTGGAGAGGCGGGGTGCTTCCCGCTTGGGGTGACCCCGGAATTCACCCCCCTGGGGAGCTGCCTGCAGCAGCCCGCCCAGGACAGGGTCCTGGGTGGGGGGAGCCCAGGAGGGAGCTGGCCGGGTGTCTGGGCCTCAGGCTCCCCTGAGGGGCCCCGCCGGCATCTCAGACCCTCGCAGCTGTCCCTGCCGCCGGGCCCTCCGCTTCCTCCGCAGGAGCGGCCGGCCTGTCCCTGTCCTCCAAAGTCGTCCTGGGCAGCGCGGGGGCCCTGGTGTCCCTGGTCGTTTAGCTTCCTGTCGCTCCCGGTGCGGGGAAGAGGAGAAGAGGACCGGTGCCTGACGCAGGGGGGCCCAGACCCGGGGTGACGGTGTGCCACATGCCGCGCCCCCCGAAAAAAATAAAGAATAAACACGAGGTGTTGCCTCCCCTCTCGATTCCTTCCTTCTCACTGCAGTCCTGGGGTGGTGTTGGGGTGCCTCTTTCCCGAGCCACGTGGTGTTGGGGTGCCGGAAGGAACCTAAGTGGGAAGGCTGGATCTGCCCTGCCCGGCTTCTGCCTCTGCGTGTGGCCGGCGGCCGGGCAGCTGACCTACAGGCGCTCACGGACCCCGGCGGACGGGCTGGCCCAGGCCTGTGCAGCCAGAGTGGGAGGGCGGGCGTCCTGTTGGCAGCTCTGGTGTGAAAGCCCCAGTCTCATTTGCACACACGCCCCACCCCCGGCCTGTGCAGCCAACGGCCGTTTCCGACCACAGCGCAGGCTCTGCAGGCCACAGCCCCGCGTGGCCAGTGCCCTCCCGGGCAGCAGGAAAGTTGGGGCGCAAGGACGTGCACCATATCGGGTCCTGGTCCTCCTTCAGGGCGTGGTCTTGAAATGGGCTTCTCTTCCCAGAACAAGGTCACAGAGAAACTCACCGCCAGGCCCGGTCCCCCCTCCCCCCAGCACAAACCTTCCCCCCAACTCTGAGCGAGTGCGGTGCCAGGGACCCTCCTTCTGGCAGTGATCCTGGTCTGCCAGGGGCACGGCCCCTGAGGGGGCACTGGGAGGGGGCCGGGGAGGGCAGGTGGCAGCAGGGTCTTCATGCATTAGGTGCTGCAACAAATAGCACAGGCTGGGCAGCTTATAAAAAAGAGGCCTGAGACTGGGGAGCCAAAGACCAAGGCACCGCGGAGAGGTGCCTGGTGCGGGCCTGCTTCCTGGACAGCCATCTTTTCGGGTGTCCTCCCCTGGCGCCCTCTGGGGTCTCTTCATAAGGGCATACGATTCCGGTTCCGGTCAGGGAGGCTCCACCCTCATGGTCTAGGCACCTCCTAAGCTATCATCTTGGGGGTTAGGACTTCATCATGAATTGGGGGGAAAGGTGGGGGAAGAGGGGGAGGGGGGAGCACGAAAATTCAGACCAGAGCAGGCATGTTGGGAAAGGGAGCTTGTACCCGATCCTGAGCGTTTTAGAAACGGAGGGTTTTCAACATGATGGTAACCCAGTCGCAGGCCTCACAGCCTGCACACTCCGCACCCCTCCCTCTCCCTTCCCCCCCCCCCCGGGGGACCCCCCCTCCCCTCGCAGCCTCTCAGGATCTCTGCTTCCCACAGGCACCAACCCTGCGGGGCCAGGGGGCTTTAAAGAACCCGGCTGTGTCCTCGTGGCTGTGTCCTCGTGGCTGTGTCCTCGTGGCTCCGACTTGGGCCAGTGATGCCTGGTTGCTAGGCAGCCATGAAAATAAAGCCCTTGGGTATTGTTTATACAATCCTCACCAGAGCATACTTTTCCATTGTGTGTTTTTTTGGGGGGAGGGGGAGGAGAAAGAGAGAAAGGAAGATTAGGGGTGAAGTGTGAACCTGCAACCCAGGTATGTGCCCTTGGCCAGGAATCAAACCCTCAACCCTTCAGTGTGCAGGCCAAAGCTCTAGCCACTGGGCACACTGGCCAGCCCCGCCTCCCTCCCCACTTGGGGTATGGATTGATTCACTACTTGCTTCTTTTTCTTTCTCTCCTTTCTTGGATGCCTTGGAGAATCTGGTAAAAGCTGTGAACCTCTTCCCGCAAAATGCACACAGTCTCAGAATCATTAGAGCTAACGAACCCCTCTTTGGAGCTGAAGGCGGGCCTGCCTTCACTAGAAGTCCAGTTCCCACAGGAGGGCACTGGGTCTGACCTGGACCCAGGAGGATGGATGGGAGGCCTCCCTCCCAGCTGAGACCCCAGCCAGAGCTGCCATCCTTCTGGACTCTGTGTCCTGAATTTCACACACACACACACACACACACACACACACACACACACACACACGAGGCCTGTTCTATTCTGACTTTGAGCCTGCAGCCCCAGCCCCGAGTTCTCTCGCTCTGACCCGGGTCTGTACCTCCGGCCCTCAGGCTCGGCCTCCATAGCAGGCAGGCCCCAGCACGGCATGGGTAACTGTCCTTTGTCTACTCCCCACCTTTGGGGGAGGGCGGGTCCTGTACATGGATGAGAATTCCTCCTGCACCTTGCGGAGTTCTATGAGGAAGGGAGGTTTCACAAGCGGGTCTAAGGTAATCGCGTGAGCCTTTAAAAGCAGAGAGGGGCCCAGCCCGTGTGGCTCAGTGGTTGAGCGTTGACGTATGAACCCGGAGGTCACGGTTTGATTCCTGATCAGGGCACAGTCCCAGGTTACAGGCTTGATCCCTGATACAGGGTGTGCAGGAGGCAGCCAATCAATGATTCTTTTTCATCATTGATGTTTCTATCTCTCTCTCTCTCTCTTCCTCTCCCTTTCTCTCTGAAACCAATAAAAATCTATTTTTTGCCCTAACTGGTTTGCCTCAGTGATAGATCGCTGGCCTATGAACCTTAGGGTCCCGGGTTCGATTCCAGTCAAGGGCACAGACCTCAGTTGCAGGCTCTTCCCTGGCCCAGGTCCTGGTCAGGGGGTGTGCAGAAGGCAACCCATCAATGTGTTTCTCTCACATCGATGTTTCTCTCTGTCTTTCCCTCTCTCTTCCACTCTCTCTAAAAATCAGTGGGAAAATACCCTCAGGTGAAGATTAAAAAATAAAATAAAATAATTTTTTTTTTTTAAAAAAAGCAGACAGTGTTGCCTGCTCATCACAAGAGTAAGTCAGAGCCAAGAAAGGGGAGATTTGAAGATTCTTTTTATTTTTTTTAAAATATATTTTATTGATTTTTCACAGAGAAGAAGAGAGAGGGATAGAGAGAAACATCGATGAGAATCATCGATCAGCTGCCCCTTGCACACCCCCCACTGAGGATGTGCCCACAACCAAGGTACATGCCCTTGACTGGAATCGAACCCGGGACCTTTCAGTCCGCAGGCCGTCGCTCTATCCACTGAGCCAAACCGGTGCCGGCAGATTTGAAGATTCTTACCACATTTCCCAAACGGGAGCACAGTCCGGCTGAAGCTTTGACTGTGAGTCTGGACAGAGAACGCAGTTAAGCCCACTTGCACTACTGACCTACCACTCCAAGACAATAAAAGGAAGTTAGTGTGAGCTGCTGAACATGCAGTCATTAGTTACCCGGGGAGAGAAAACAGCTGTGACACCCCACCCCCCCTTTTATCAGGCTGAGGGTTGTTCAAGTTGGGAGCTGGCTGCACACACTCCAGCAGCCCCAGGATTCCTGGAATCCGGGCTTCAGCGGACCCCTGGGATTCAGGGACTCTGGTCCCATCCCTGCGGAACCCCGGGGTCCCTGCCTCCCCTCAGGGGTCTGCAGTGTCAGGGAAGCCAGGCCCATTCTCCACTAACCACGTTCTGGTGCACGGTGGCTGGGCGTGCTTCCGGGAGAGCACAGAGAGGCAGGGCCCAGTTCTTGTGGTCGCCTCTAGGATGGCTTCCTGCTGAGGCCCAGGAATTCCCCTGTGAGCAGGGGCTGCTGGTAGTCACCTGGTGTCCCGTCTTTTGCCAGGGGCACCGTCTCCAGCGAAGGACTGCATCTCAGCCCCTCTTTGCAGCGAGTCTACAAAGTCTGCAGCTCTCAGGGTGTGAGGGGCCCATCTTCGACCCATGGCCCCTCCCAGGGGCTCTGCAGCAGGCAGGAGAATAAACCCTCTTCCAGCCTGCAGGTGAAAGCAGCGCCTGAGGAAGCTAGAGCCCTAAGGCTGGGGAGCCTGGGCCTCCTGGAACAGTCCTGGCTACCAATTTTTATTCCTCACCCAAGTACATGTTTCCATTGATTTTTAAAGAGAGAGTGGAAGAGAGAGGGAAAGACAGAGAGAAACATCCATGTGAGAGAAACACATTCGACTGGTCGCCTCCTGCACGAGCCCTGACCAGGGCCTGGGCCAGGGAGGAGCCTGCAAGCACAGCACATGCTCTTGGCCAGAATCGAACCTGGGACCCTGAGGTTGGAGGCCGATGCTCTATCCATTGGGCCAGACCAGCCAGGGCCTGGCTGAGGTTTTTATATGACCAAGTAGCAGGGAAAGAAACCTCTCTTGTTGCAGCCAAGAGAGCCTCGTGGCCAGCAAGCATCTATTCTACTGAACATGAGCGGGACTCTCTCGATTGCAAGCAACAGCACATCCCCCCAACAGAGAGGAGTCACCTGCTGGTTCTCCACACTCCACCAGGACAACAGCGAAGGGCGAGAACGAGCTTCAGCACACACGGCCGCGGGAAGGGGAGAGGCTAGGAGCCCGGAACCACAGGGACACAGGGTTCTGCTTGGCGGTCCCCAGGAGGCTGCGTCTTCAGTCCTCAGTGGAGAAGGGGAGAAAGAGGTGACTGCCCCTAAAGCCTCAGCCACTGCCCGGACCATCCTCCTGGAGGTTGGCTCCGGGTGGGTGGCAGTGGAGGGCTGTTGGAGTCTCCGTGGGAAGAGGCAGTTCTCCAAGTGCCGCATCAGCAGACAGGAGCTTTATCCTTGGCGAGGTGGGTCTCTGTGCCAGGAGGAACCGGGGGCTTAGTACTGAAAATGGGTGCCCCTCCAGGTGGAGAGACCCTCGGTGACCTCCATCCAGTGGCTTTCAATCAGAGGGAGGGCCTCTGGGGAACCTTTCCAGCCCAAATAAAAAGCTGCTCACATTCTGACACCGTGATGGGGCGTGCCCGTGGAAAGGCTCAGGGAGATCAGTGTTAGAACCTGAGCCCGCCCCCCCCGCCCCTCCAGGCTACCCTGCAGATTCTCAGTCGGAAGAGACACTGGTGGCACAGCCCCTCACGTCTCTGGCCATCTCTCTCCTGCTCCCCAGCCCTGGGCACTCCCCACGGTGGGAGCCACAGTGCTGGTCCGTGATGGCGGAAAACTGGGAAGACGGTCCTGAGGCGAGGGGAGCGTAGTGGCCCAGAGGGGTGTGGAAGGAGGTGCCCCTGGATCAGGGCAGGGAGGAGGGCATGTTTCCTAGCAGCCCCCCCCCCCCCATCCTCCTGGGCCCCGCGGCAACTTCTGGGGCAGTCTGAACACCCACAGGGCAACTCCTGAAGCACGGCCACAAGCAAAGCAGCATCGGAAAGATACTTCTGCGCCAGGACAGCCCGAGACTCACCTCCGAAAAGCCGCTCACATTCCCAGAAGGGCATGCCGCCCGTTGGATGGATGCTGTTAGATGACTCTGTAGGAAACCACCCAGCCGGGCTGGCGTGGCGCCGGGGTTGGGCATCGGCGCAGGAACCCAGAGTCGCAGGTTTGATTCCCGGTCAGGGCATGTGCCTGGCTTGCAGGGTCGATCCCCAGCATGGGGCACGCAGGAGGCAGCCAGGCAGTGATGGTCCTGTCTCATATGCATGTTTCTCTCTCTCTATCCCTCCCTTCCACTCTCTCTAAAAATCAATTAAAAAAGAGAAATGGCCCAAAGTCCCAACTCCCGCTGCTACTGAAGCCGGCACCTTCCCAGCGGTTGAGTGGCCGCCGCGTGGTTCTTCCCAGCCGTGGGCGGCAGGCGCACAGCTCCCTCCCACTGCTGCCCGTGTTCAGGAGATACAACGTTTTCCTCATGAGTCAGGCAACTTCAAGGGTGTAGGGGAGGGTGGGGGAAGGTCAATGGGGAGGGTGGGGGGAGGAGATATATGTACCACTATATGTAATATTTTAAAGAATAAAATAAATTTTAAAAAAGATAAAAAAGGAGTGAGGACTCAGGGGAGGCGCAGGGAGGGCAGTGGCTCATCGGTGTCAACCACCTTTGTGCCAGCCCCCATCCGACTTTTTTTTGTTGTTGTTGTTAAAATATATTTTATTGATTTTTCACAGAGAGGAAGGGAGAGGGATAGAGAGTTAGAAACACCAATGAGAGAGAAACATTGATCAGCTGCCTCCTGCATACCCTCCATTGGGGATGTGCCCGCAACCAAGGTACATGCTCTTGACCGGAATTGAACCTTTCAGTCCGCAGGCCGATGCTCCATCCACTGAGCCAGACCGGCTAGAGCCCGCCCTACTCTCCTGAGCATCGTTTGCGGCAGGAGGAAGGGTAAATGAGAAGGAACATTTTTTCAATTGAAATTGTGCAACGCTTTCCCTGACATAGGGACTCAGGGGTGGCCTGCTGGTTGGAGTGATTTCCTCCCAGGCTTTCGGCACATGGCGTGGTCCAGGGTAGCCTGGGGGGCGGGAGGGCAGAGCTGTGTTCTCTGCCAGAATTCTGCCAGACCTGGGCCTGTCTGGGGTGCCCACCAGGTGGGTCCTAATGAGCAGGCTGTGGAGCCCCCTGTCCGCGCCTCATCCTGAGGGAAGGAGACTGGACCAGCCTGAAGGGATTCCAGGAACCATCTGTGGGGCGCTGTGGCTGTCTGGGGCTCAGCCCTGTGGGCTCTGAGTGGGGCTGAGACCCCAAAACAGGGATTTGAGTGCAAATGTTTTATGCAGGTGACACCAGGAGCACAGACGGGGGAGGGAGGCTGAGCAGGGCAGTACAAGCAGCCAAGCAAGGGCCCAAAGTGGGTTCGTCCTGTGGGCACGGCCGGTTGCCGCCTGCACCCCTCTCAGGCCAGGAAAGCTAGGCTGTGAGGGCCAGGCTTTCTCTGGGCGCCCGGGTGCCCGCTGCCTCTCGCCGCTCTGAGCGCCTCCTGGTGGCCCGGCCGCGCGCGGTCTCACGCAGCGGGTGCGGCTGGGCCTCCTCAAAGCCGTCCACGGGGGTGGGGGGTTGGAGGGGGGGCGGCAGCAGAAGTCTTAGCGCTCCTGTTTCACTTATTATTTATGTAAGCGAATCCTTAAAAATATTTTTTATTGATTTCAGAGAGGAAGGGAGAGATAGTTATGCGAGAATCATCGATTGGCTGCCTCCTGCACGCCCCACCCTGGGGATCCAGCCGGCAACCCGAGCCAGTGCTCTGGACAAGAATTGAACCCAGGAACCTGCAGACTGCAGGCCGACACTCTATCCACTGAGCAAACCAGCGAGGGCAGAACCCCTATTTTTAATTTAGTTTACAACTCATCCTTTTAAAAAACAAACACACAACTCCAGAGGACACCTCACTGGCAGGAAAAGGCCTCGTCCTGGGGGTGAGTGCAGACTCAGGGACACCCCAAAACCCTTGTCGCCAGGCAGGAGCTGGTGACTGTCAGTTCTGTTGGCTTTCCCAGTGACACTGGGTTCCGTCTCCTCCCCCTGCAATGCCCCAGCCGAGGAGCACCTGGCATCGGGCACTGCTTGGCGGTTTGTGTGCCAGCCTCCCCCGGGAATCCCGAGGCAGCGGGGCGGGCGGGTGGCGGTCAGTGGCTGTTCAGTGCCCACAGGAGGAGGGGCAAAGGGCTCTGGGGTCCGTGGAGCCATGTGCACCCTGGCTCCCCTTCACCGGCCTCCGGCAGGAACCTGTATCAGCCCCCCACTGAGTGGGGGCAGAGGCCACAGAAGGCCCCTGAGTGGCCCTGGGTCATCAGCCCATCCTTGTCAGCCTAGGCCCCCCTCCCTGCATGACAAGGCAGGTCGGAGAGTGGGGGGGATAGGAGCCTCTAATTCCCACCGTCCCAACCAGGCTGCAGGGTCCCAACCAGGCTGCAGGAATGAGGACAGGGAGGCGCATCATGTGCACGTGACCTTTATTTCCGAGGCTTCCCGGAGCTGAGGGGGGGTTTCGGAAGGTTCGCCTGGGGGGCGTGTTTTCCTGGCTGGTCCCCTTCAGCCCCGGGCCCTGCGGGGGGAGAGGGAAGGGCCGCCTTTCTGGAGCCTCCCAGCAAGGCGCCCAGAGCGGACCCCACGGAGGCCAGGAGGATGTTGGACGAGGTGGAGAGTCCCGCTGCCCCTTGGGGAGAAGAGAGGGTGAGCCTGGGGACCCTCGGGGGGTGCCCCTGTAGGTCCTGACACCCGCAGGGTTCTGCTCTGGGTAGCGGATGCTGGGGCGGCAGAGAGAGGAGATGGCGAACTCATGGGAAGAGGGGGCAGAGGAGAGCTGGCCACAGGCTCCCCCTTCTGGTCCCCCCTCACTTTACCCAGGCGGCCCCTGAGGCCCCAAGAGTGAGGGGACCCAGCGGGGCCACCCAGGTGTCAGCAGTGGGTAGAGCTGGACCCACAGCCAGACATCACTCACCCTGGGCTCCCTCCCTGACCCTCTTCCCCCGCCCCGCCCCAACCTCACTCCGGAGCCAGAGAGGACAGGCAGGGAGAGACAGAGGACCAGGGCGCTGGGGAGCGGACCGTCCCGCCGCCCAGCACCCAGCCCTCCTCCGCCCGCACCCAGGCCCCCCCGCCCGCACCCAGGCCCCCCCGCCCGCACCCAGGCCTCCCCCGCCCGCACCCAGCCCTCCCCCGCCCGCACCCAGCCCTCCCCCGCCCGCACCCAGGCTCCCCCGCCCGCACCCAGCCTCCCCCCCGCTCGCACCCAGGCTCCTACCCGCACCCAGGCTCCTACCCGCGGACTGCAGGACGGCCACCAGGCTGCCTGCGGGGACGCCGCCCCCGTGGGCGATGGCGGCCGCCGACATCATCTTGGCGGCCAGGGAGGAGGCGGCGATGCCGGCGCCCGTGAAGCCCGCGGCGCCCACGGCCAGGGCTGCGGAGAGGCGGGCGGGTGGGCGCGGGAGCGGGGGCGCACCCCTCGGCGCCCCGGGCCCGCGCGGGAGCCCGCAGCTCAGGGCGCCGGGCCGAGGGCCCGGAGGGGGGCGGGCGGGCGCTGGGTGGCCCGGGGCGTCAGCGGCCTCGCTGGGCTCCGGGGAGGCGGAGGGGGTGGAAGAAGCCACTGCACCCCTTCCGCATGCTCACCCCCGGAAGCGCTAGAGGGGCAGCTGTGGGGCCCAGGTGACGCCCGCGGGGGCTCTCCCCTAAGGCTCCCACTCCTCTGTACCCCCTCCCCGTCCCCCATCCCCCTCTGCCCCCACCCCCTTCTTCCTCCACCCCCCTGTGCCCCTGGCGATGGGGACCCAGTAACTCACCTCCCCCGACCACAGCGGCAGCCGCTTTCTCTGGGGACACAGGGGAGGGGGTCAGTTAGCTGTTGGGGGGAGCGGTGGGAGTCGGGGAGCCCCCCCCCAGGCCGCCGCCCCCTGGGAAGGCAGACTCACTGATCATGGTGCCGGCTCAGCGCAGGACGCGGTCCCGGTGCGGCTTCCCGGCGACCGAGGGCGCCCCCCCGTGGCCCAAGGCAGCACTACACCCCGCTCCCCGCCCGCTCCCGCCCACTCCCCGCCCGCACCCCGCCCGCTCCCCGCCCCCCGCTCCCCGCCCGCTCCCCGCCCGCACCCCGCCCGCACCCCGCCCGCTCCCCGCCCCCCGCTCCCCGCCCGCACCCCGCCCGCTCCCCGCCCCCAGCACCCTCCTGCTCCCCGCCCGCTCCCCGCCCGCTCCCCGCCCGCACCCCGCCCGCACCCCGCCCGCTCCCCGCCCCCCGTTCCCCGCCCGCTCCCCGCCCGCACCCCGCCCGCTCCCGCCCGCTCCCGCCCGCTCCCCCTCCTCTCCCCGCCCGCTCCCGCCCGCTCCCGCCCGCTCCCCCTCCTCTCCCCGCCCGCTCCCCGCCCGCTCCCCGCCCGCTCCCCGCCCGCTCCCCCTCCTCTCCCCGCCCGCACCCCGCCCGCACCCCGCCCGCTCCGGTGGGTTTGGGTCTCCCGGTGGCCGTCTCTGCCGGAGAAAAGCCTAAAGCGCCAGAGCTGAAGCCGAGGCGGGGTTCCAAGTTGTATTCGCCGCCCGCCTCCCCCACCAAGAAAACCCAGCGGCCGCAGAACTTCCCCTCCCGTCATTCCATTGGGGCGCCTTGTCCCCGTCCCTGTCTGAGTGCAGACACTCCCCCGCGCCCCTTTGGGAGGGTCCCCGGGCCCCCACACTTAGAGAGGGTGAGCGGGAGCCTCCCTCTCCTCCCCTCCCCTCCGCCCGATGGAGTCCGCTCCACCAGGGTGGACGCGCCGACATTACCTCCCTGTGTTCTCGCTCGGGTGGCCTCTCCTTTTGTTGCTCAGTGTCTCCAGCTTTGGCTACTGCCGGCCTTTGAGTGGGTTCCTGTGTCTCTTGGACACCCACCCCATCATGGAGTGTGAGTGTGTGTGTAGGTGTGTGCATGTGTGTTTGTGTGAGTGTGTGTGCATGTAGATGTATGAGTGAGTGTATGTGTGTGAGTGTATGTATATGTATATGCGAGTGTATGTGTATGCATGTGTGTAGGTGTGTGTATGTGAGAAAGAGAGAATGTATGCGTGTGTATGTGAGAGAATGTGTGTGTAGGTGTATGACTGAGTGTGAGTGTGTGTAGATGTGTGTGAGTGAGTGTGAGGGTGTGTGTAGGTGTCTGTGTAGGTGTGTGAATGAGTGTGTGTGTGAGTGTGTAGGTGTGTGAGTGAATGTGTGTGTGTGTGTAGGTGCGTGAGTGAATGTGCGTGTGTGTGTGTGTGTGTGAATGTGGTGTGTGTGTGTGTGTGTGTGTGTGAATGTGGTGTGTGTGTGTGTGTGTGTGTGTGTGTGAGAGAGAGTGTGTAGGTGTGAAGCTTCCTGACAGGCCAGCACTTTGTGCTGCTGCAGGCTTGTTTTGCCTCTGCCCTTCCCAGAACTGAAGCCTGGCTCCCTGGATGAGCAGGTGTTTGACCTAAACGTCTGCAGCGGGTGCTCCTGTGAGGCTGGGGCTGCTTGTCGGCCTCCACCTGTCACCCACCCGCTTGACGCTCAGACCTAGGTCAGGACAGCAGTGTGTTACCTATCAATCCAGGGCCGCCTATAGATTGCTTGATTCAAAAACACTTTGTAATATCTCTTCTATCCTGAAAGGGAATTCATACATAACATCATCTGGTTACACACCATACACTGCCAAGACTGTAATATAAAAGAGAAATGAAAGTTGTTTATTTCAATACTTATGTGCTCAAGCACTAGACATAATGAAACAGAAGGTATAATAACCAGTTGCTTCATTTGAGTTTAGGTTGAAGGTAACACAATATATAACTGACAGTCATGAATTTTTTATATTTGATCGTTGAAACAGGGGTTAAGGAATGTATCTATAATCCCTCCCCCTGAACTATGTCTATGCGCCCTGAGTGTGCTGCTGCACACAGACTGACTCAGGCCCATGAGGGACATCGCTACTCAGAGCACCGTTTTCTGAAGTTGTCAACAAATCTTGGTCATGCCCAGGACACCTCAAAATACAGTGTCTCCCTGGTTTGCAAGATAGTCACAATTCCTGGAAAACCCAGTCTCTACGTAAACCATGCAGAAACATCTATGGTAAAACGTGGAGAAGTTCTAGGCGGGGGAACTATGAATTTTTTGTTCACGTGAACAGGCCTCTGACATCCGTCCAGGACAACTTCTAGCTGTGAGTTCTGTCCTGGGTAGTCAGGACCTCAGGCATCCTGACCCCTCTGTGCCTAATACCAGAGCACCCCTCCATCACTGTGGCTACTAAAAACAGGCCATCAAATTCCACAAATGTCCCCTAGAGGGCAGTACCGCCCCAGTTAAAGACGACCATCTTAGAAGGTAACTAAAAACCCAGGCATGTTTGTAATTACAGTATTTAAAGAAAAAAACAAAAAAAAAACAAAGCCAATGATATTATTTTTTGGAATATTTTAAGAATAATTTGTGTATATTGAATATCAGTGCACACAAATTTGGTATATGTGACAGATTAATTACGATTCCAACTTTAATGGTGTACAGCACTTCTGGGAGAGATTTAATGGTGGTTATAAAGACGAGTATTCAAAATTGTATAGGTTTATTCTATTAGATTTATAGTACTCACCATGTTCATAGGAAGGCTTTGATTATTAGAAACAAATGCAGCGTTTAAAAATGGAATTATAGGTATATGCTTAAAAAGGAAATTGGTTTTGTTAATATATATTCAACCTAAACTACTTAGGGGATTTAATGAACTAGGTTGTAAAGATCCTCTTAGATTTATAGACACCGTGTTTCCCCGAAAATGAGACATCCTCCGAAAATAAGACCTAGTGCATGGGAAGATAAGACATCCCCTGAAAATAAGACCTAGCGCATCTTTTAGAGCAAAAATTAATATAAGACACTGTCTTATTTTCTGGGAAACAGGTAGAAGATTAAGGTTTTAATCAGAACTTAATAAAAACTTAAGGATATTAGCTTTTTAAATTTCTATTTCAATAAATTCAATGTTAATTTTAAAAAGAACCCAAGCCACAAATAGATTTATTGTTTATAAAAGCTACTTTCGAGGCTAGCCTATAATCCAATATATACCACCCACATTCTTCTTTAAAAAAATAATTTTACTAATTTCAGAGAGGAAGGGAGAGAGAAACGTCAATGATGAGAGAGAATCATTGATCGGCTGCCTCCTCCACGCCATCTATAGGGTGTCGAGCCTGCAGCCTGGGCATGTGTCCTGATGGGGAATCGAACCCTGACCTCCTGGTTCACAGGTCGACGCTCAGCCGCTGAGCTACACTGGTGGAGCGCATCCACCTTCTTAGTCCCTCCCCTGAGCAGTGCCAACTGGATTCGGCTCTGGTCTCCTGGAATCTGTAAATGAAGACCATATGCTTAAACCAAACACAAGAAAAGCACTGAACCAGACAGGAAAAGGTTATGGATTCGGATCCATTAACATTAAGAAACTACCATCATCAAGAATAAGAGTACCTGCTGGGTCAAACGTCACCATGCTGAGGGCGGCGTGGAGGGTACTGAGTGCCTTCCGGACCCAGGCCCCGGGCCTCGGGCTGCCAGGGGGAAGGTGCACCCGGCTTCCTTCCAACCCCCAGGTCCTCCCCTTTCCTCCCCGCGGTCTCCTCCCGGCCGCCCGCGGATATGCCATCCAGAAGCCAGTCCAGCCCAGCCAAGAAGATGACCCGCCCCCTTTCACGCCCCTCAAAGATCACCAGGATGTCCCTGGAATTGACAAGGTTGATGATGTCGTGAAAAGACTCTTGTCCTTGGAAATGGGGAATCAGAAGGAGAAGCTAAAAGTCAAGAAAGAACAACTGATGAACAAGGTTGTGGCAAACCCCGAGGACACCAGCTCCCTGGAGGCTCGAATTGTTGCCTTGACTGTCAAGATCCAAAATGATGAAGAACACATGCAGAAACATCGAAAGGACAAAGCTCACAAGCGCTATCTGATGATGAGCATTGGCCAGCGGCAAAAGATGCTCAAAAACCCCCGTAAGACCAACTACAAAGTCGTGCAAGGACCTGGGGATTGGGTACATCTTCCCCCCTATGTACTACCGAAGAGCCCACCGCCGCTGGGTGGCCAAGAAGGCTTTGTGCATTCGGGTTTACCAGGAGGCTCAAAAGCTAAAGAAGCAAGAAAGGGCCTTAAAAGCAGCAGCAGCTGCCCAGAAACAACGCCAGACGAACCCAATAAGCTCTTCCCAAGCTGCACCAGAGGCAATCAAGGAAAACCAATAAATTTTGTTCAAGTTAAAAAAAAAATAAATAAAAAAAATAAGAGTACCTGATCACATTTAAAAGCGGCTAAGGAAAAATTACAGACAATTCTATGCCTCTATATGACAGTACAGAGAAAATGGGCATTCGTTGAGATATTCACAGACTGACCCAAGAAGAAATAGGAAACCTGGAAAAATAAACTAAAGTAGCAAATAAATTGATTCAGCTCTGGGCAGCAGGCCGAGAGCGGGAGACCCTGGGTCCCACCTGTTAGAACCCCTGCTGCTACCCCATTAGGCCTTGAGGGATGGAAGGCCAATTTCCAGAGAGCTCCATTCCTGCTCATGCACGCCCTCTCGTGGCAGAATGGTGGTGCAGCAGCTGCCCCGGGAAGTGCGGAAGGCCTAGGCCTGGACCCTGGCATTCGGTTTCAGGGGCCGAAGCAAGCCGCAGGCAGGGTCAAGCCCCAAGCCAAGGAGTGGGGACTTCTCTGCCCACAAGGAGGCCGTGGCAGGGTGTGAGTACAGAGGGGTAAGGAACTGGGGTGGTCCTTCAATCCCCACCCCCGGCGGTGCTCACAGGTACCTGGCCAGTTGACCCGCCTGCTGACCCGCCCATTGCCTAGGTTTGGAGGGGCCTCAGGGGCAGTGAGCCCGGCTGCGTGGCTCAGCAGTGGAGCGTCCACCTAGGAGCCAGGAGGT